GAGTAGTATGGGTGATCAAGAGTAAAGGACCATCATGTCTGCAACACTGTCAAACAGCAGTTTATAAAATTCACAGACAGCTGGGGGAGAGAGAGTGTGAGCACTCGTGAGCACAAATGTGGTTAAATGTTAACAGGTGTGGAATCTGGCTGAAGGATGTATGGTGATTCTTTGTGCTATTTTTGGAACTTTCCTGTCAGTCGAAAATTATGTCAACATGAAAAACCAAAAACATGAGTTCCTAGATACCAGAAGAGTACCTCGAAAACAGGTTTGGCACTTCCAGAATTAAAACTGGGGACAGGGCAGATACTAGGGTCTTGAGGCCAGCTTGATGAGAAGGGCAGCATCCCGGCTGAAGGCAGAAGGCAGGGAAGGAGGGAGACGTGACACTGCCCCTCCCTGTGGGGCGCGGTGGCAAAGCCATTCCTAGATGGCGCGCTAAGCAATCCCCATTAAAGCGCTGTCAGAAGAACTCCAGTTGCCGTGTCTTCCTTGCTGGCGAGGCGGGCGCGACACCTCCCCAACCCAGAGAGGCAGAGATGAAGTCACAGTGCTTCTCCTTCTCACCTCTGGGCGTTCCCCAGTAGAGCCTGAAACCCTTCATCTGACCGTACCAGGCGATTGTGAGACTGAATGCATAGTTTACTATTTTGGTCTAATTATCATGTAGCACAATTCTGTGTATATTCAATGACAGATCAACTTTGTTGTAAGTTTCATAAGATTCAAGCTCTGGTTATGCTATTGGTGTTATTACTATTACTATGTGACTCCGTGTTAATAATTTAGTGATCATGTAGCTTGTTTGTTTCTTTATAATGTAAAAGAATTGAGGACTCAGCCAGCTAGGATTTAGCCCCGCTTGCTTTGGGAACACTGCGCTGCTTCTGTGGTATTTGAAATGGAGAAAGACAAGCCTTACGGAGGGCTGTGTAATCCAGGGGTACAAGCTTTGATGTCAGTCAGATGGGAAGTAAAAACCCAGCATGCCCACTTCAGTGAGGTGGGCTTGGCAAGTCATTTCCCCCTTTGACACTGTTTTCTTATCTATAAAGTATAAGAAAACGCTTGTGAGGACTGATGAGAATTTAGCATAAAACCACCCGCCCAGTTGCTGGTTGTAAGAAGAGCCTCAGAAATCAACTTCTTCCCAACAAACCTGGATATGAGGCAACACTTCTATTTGTTTCCCTTTGTAAACCACTGTTTCTTTCCTTCAGAAAGTGGTTCCTCTACTCTCTGGAACACCTGCATAGTTTTCCAAAAGCTAGTTGTTTTTATGCCAATTGTGCCTGGATTGCAAATACACAATTTAATGAAATACAAACTTAAATACTATGAGTGAGGAAATTGTTCCTATGTAAAACTAAGTTGAATATTTGGAAAGAACTACAGGCAAAATGGTAAAAGCAAATAATTCTGCTGAATTAGGTGTGGACGAAGCAGCAGTAAAAGATAAGATTACACAGGAAAATGGCTTTGCAGGCCCTTCCTCTGCTTCAGCAAAGCTGTAACGGAAATCAGAGATGAGGTCTCCTGGGTGTGGCTTAGGAGAGAAAAATGACAACGGAATGCTAAGCAGATCTGTGCCCAGAGGGAATGCCTCGGCTTTACAGGAGAGATTGGCACCAAACGAAAGTACCTGATGTTAAAATTCAAGTAAAATGTTTAAGGCACATTTATATCATTTGTAGGATTTCCCCACTTGGACAACTTTTTTGATTAATCAATTCCAAGTGCTTTACATGAGAGGGCTTCTATTGTATTCTACTTTATTAGGAACAGTGGTGAAACCCATTTGCTTGGTAAATATGCCCACATTCTCCCAGGATGTTTGGTTGAGGCTCTCTATCAGTGATTCCCAATCTTGGCAGATCATTGCAACCACCTGGCCAGTTGTAAAGCCTCTGATGCTTGGGTTTCCCTGCCCCCTAGAGACTTTGATTTTACTGGTCTAGGTAGGGCCTGGGCATAGGACTAGTTTAGCAGCTCAGGTGAATCTGATGTGCCAGCAGGGTCGAGCATCTCTGCTCTGTGTTATTTGCTACTTGGACCTTATATCTGTGGCCATATTTGCAAGAGTCAGATGGAGAATCTTAGCATCTACTTGGCTCCTCCTGGAAAAGCCCACCAGAGGGTTTGTGCAAACAACCCTAAGAGTTCCCGAATTGGGCTAAACACTCTGAACCCCTGGAGGGTAGCTTCTAGAAAAGCAGAAAGGGCACCAGGGACAGTTCACACACTGGCAGTGGGATAGGCTGCAGACCAAAGGATTTGGTGGACTGACATGAAAGGCTGAGCAGAATCCCAGCCACAAGTGCTGTGATCAAGCATGTGATGATGATGATGATCTGTGTTAAAGGAGAATTTCCTTAAGGTCAGACATTTCATTTTCCTACCAATGGATAACAGGATGTTCTTAATTATGGTCAATTCTTATTATTTGAGGTAGTTATGTTCTACAAAGTTACTGTGAATACCGAAGTAGCTGATACTGAACCATTGCTCTGAGGGGAAAATACAGAGTTAGGTTCCTGTGAGTCTGTCTGGCCACAACATTTTGATCATCTGATTATACATAACCTTGTGTTATGTATGTTTCTGTTTAACAGCAACTTATTTAATATATTGCTGATTCCTTAACACTGAGCTCACAGTCAACAGCACTATGAGTCATGCCTGACGGAAGCTTATCTAACACACATATTTTCTCCATAAGGCACATCACAATCTTTTGTGCTTAGGAACACCAAACAGCATGTTGGCACTATGTTTGAGGGTCATTATAAACGGTGAAATCACCAAGAAAAAGCACGAAAATGTGGAAATGCTAAATAGACTGCAAAACGACTCTCGTTTACAGCATGAGAGCTGAAACAAGAAGACAGAGCATTGCCCGTCTAGAGCTTGTTCCACCTCAGCCAGAAAGAAGTGCTTTGGGTGGTACAAAGTTTTCACTGCTCTGTGATGCATGTGCCTGCAAAAGACTGGGAAAGCACCTTGAATATTGATCTTTAGGTCACAAATAAATTTTAGCAAGTAGGTGAATTTGCAAATATAGTATCTGTGAGAATGAAGACACACTGTACATAGTTAATGAATTTCCACTGCTTCCTTCTTCTGTCCTGCTGGTCATATTCCTTTCTCTCTTCAAAGGCCTGCCTACCCTATCAAGGGAGCCTTTTTTCATTTGCAACCTGCCTCTGATCACAGTATCCTGTGCTCAATTTACAGAACACTGTTGAGATAAATCAGCCAATCAATCAATCACCTAATCAACCAATACTAATGAAGTATTTTAAAGCACTCAACAGAACTTTTGGGAGGTACAGTGGGAAATAAATAAATATAAAAAGCAATGCCTTCCAAAAAGAGTTTACTATTCACTGGTAATTGAGAAGAGAAATCTACCATGTGAAACAAAGGCAAACTCTGCCAAAGAGTACCTAGGTCTAGTTTAAATGATTGTAGCACACTGTACGTGTTGTAGATGCCCCGAAAAGGCTACCTGTGGGGGCTTTGAATGAAACTTTCCTAAGAAATATAATAGAACTTTGACATAGGACTTTAAGGAAAACAGAGATGGAGAATGGGTGGAGGAAGCATTCAGGATACATCAATACAGCCTGAGGAGTGGGAATAAGCATAGCATTGTTTTTTTGGTTTTTGTTTTTTTCTAAATAAAAATAAAGAGATGGACTTAGCCAGGCTGCTTGTGTCTGAGGAGTCAGAGGCGGCAGAGCTGGATGCGAGCTCAGGTCTGCCTGGGGATGCTTTGTTCCTTACTGCAAGAAACATCTTATCAACAACACTGGCAGGACATTCCAGGTGGATTAACCACTACCAAGCATTTCGCCTCCTGTTATTTGCCACATGACTTTAGCCAGGATCTCAATCAAGGACTCCTTGGTAATAGTAGATAATTTAGGGCAATATATTCGAGAGGTCATTGTGAAGAAAAGTCCAGGAAATGGGCCCTCAGGTAGCGAATTACTTCATAAACTTTAACTTTGTTAAATATTTGTTACCTTGGTTGTATCAGATTGTGTTACAGGGTGGCAGCTTTGACCTGTTGCACTGTAGCTGGGGCCAGACTCTTCAGAAATGAAAGAAAGTGACAAAAGAAAGCCAGTGCTTAGGGCAGTGTTTGGTGCCCCTCCAGCCTATGTAAATGTTTGTTATTGTTAGTGCAAAGACCAAGTCTCCTACAGTGCCCCATTTGTTTCTTTGTAAATTCTACAAGGCTGTGCAATGCTGGGAATCCCAGTGAACATAATCTGGTTTAGAATGAGTGGACATCCAGGGTGACTGTGCCTAATCTCGTATCTTGGATTTGTAAGTGTCATTTATTGGGTTGGAGCATGAGCTTGAACCTGCAGTTAGTCATTTTCAGCAGACGCTGGTTGGGCACCTGCTTTGTGCCGAGCGCTGTGCTACAGGCAGGGATGCAGCTGTAGTAGGAACAAAGTAATAACAGTCACCATTCCTGCATGCGAGGTGGTGTGAGCCCTCTGCAGAAAGGCATTATGCGAGGTAGGCATCCTTATCGCCAAATTCCTGGGAGGAAACTGAGGCTTTGAGAAACTGAGCACTTGCCAGGCCATTGACCACCACAGCCACACCTTCCGCCTCCCCCACCAATGCCCTGAAGAGTCCGTGTCCACCCTTAAGGAACCTACTCTGTATTGATTATTAAGAACTCAACGAGACCCTGAGCATCAACTCAGCACATCTCATCCGCTCCCTAGAGACCTCCAAGTGTCTGAAGGGAACAGGGCGCACCCCTTCTGCTCCCAGGGGCACCTCACTTCCTAACACCTCGGAGAAGGTGGGAAGGGAGGGGAGGGAAGGGAAGGAGATGAGAGAGGTGTCATCGATGGTCGATGTGCCTACGACGCAGAGGCTCCCCTGGAGACCCTTCCGTCCATCCTGTAGGACGATGCCGGCCGGGGCTGACCCACTCCTCCCAGCTGCGCTCTGAGTCGCCAGGTTTCTCTGCCTTCAAAGCCCTGCGCGACGGCCATACCAAACACCCAAACCTTGGGCTGGGACCAAACGGTCACTTCCCCGCCCTCCGGGTGCAGTATGCAAATCCGAGCACCAGGAAGTAGACGGGACCTCTCGGCCGAGCCCAGAGACAGCCAGTTCCTCTCCCGCCGCGCCGGGCCGCGCCGCCGCTCGCTCCGGGCCGTGGTGCTCCGGGCCCGACGCGCTGCAGCTCCAGCCCGCGGCAGGCGGGGCGGCCGCGCCACCCGGGCCAGAGCCCGCAGCCCTCCCCACGCGGGTCCCCTGGGCTGCCCCGTCGCGCCCCTCCTCTGAACTCGGGTCACCGTGGAGCTCCGCCGCCGCGACCCCGAAACTTTCACTGCGAGCGGGTGAGTCCCCGGCGCGAGCCCGGGGGTGGGCGCGGGCGCCCGGGCGGACGGCGCGGGGCTGCGGCCGCGCGGCCAGCTGGAGTCCCGGCGCGGGCTGGCTAGGGACGGGGTGGGGGCGGAGCGCGGCAGGGGTCGCGGGCCGCTTTCCGGCCACACCAGCGCCCAGCCCGGGCGGCGAGGGCAGCACAGGCGCCTTCAGCCTGTGGGTGACCCGGCCTGGGGGCGCGAGGGCGCGGGGCGGGCGGTTCCGCAGGTGTCCGCCGCCGAGCCGCGCAGGGGAGTGGTGGGAGGTGCCAGCGCGGGACGGGCGCGCGGCGGAGCCTCTGGGCTCCGGCCTGAGGGCCGGCGGCTGTCCTCGCACCGGCCACTCCCCGCGCACGGCGGGGAAGCCCCTGCCTACGCGGGGCGGACGCAGGCGGGGATCCCGGAGAGGACTCCTCGGATTGCCCAATCTGCACCCCCAGTGGGTCCTGGATCCCCAGAGGTGGGTGGTGGGGTTCGGCCCGCGGACAGCCGCCCTCCTCTGTGGCCCGGGCAGGAGCGTGACGTCCAGGGCCGCAGCGGAGGCTGGCGCTCACCCTCCCGCCGAGCCGGGCGCCTCCAGGCCTGCAGAGCAGCAGTCCGGTGCTTCGGCCGCCCAGAGGAAGCGAGAGTTATTTTAAGAATTCAGGGTTGCCTTTCCTTCGCCTTGGGGGAAGGGTGCTTACGCGTCGGTTCCCACTTTCTACGATATCTTGGCCGACTGTGGTGTCTTCATGCTGCGCGTTTGTAGTGTTCCCACTGATAGCCCGCCTGGCGTGTAGACCTGTAGTTCTGCCTTCATTTCTTTGTGTATGCGTGTGCGTGTGCGTGTGTGTGTGTGTGTGTGTGTGTGTGTGTGTGTATGTGTTAATTATCCCAAATCCACTCAACTTTGCCATCTCAGAATTCAGGCCTTGCAATTTTCTAGCTGTGTATGAAGGGGCTTATTATTGAAATTCTCCCTTTGGGTTCCCTTATCTTGGAGAGAGCACATCTGCCCCCTGGGCCGGCTAGTACGCATAAAGCCCCTGGTGCCTACTAGGCAGGTATTTCATAAGCGGTGTGGTTATTGTTATTTATTGAAACTAATTCTATCTGTATAAACAAGGCTCCTTGGGTCTTGGCAGCTTGGTGGTTTCGAACCTGAGACTGCCATGTCTGACTTAGCCATCTGGCTTTACTAGTGAATCTGTTTAATAAATACATGAGGGACTTGCTGTGCCAAAGCAGGGCCGGGCGGTCGGACTGCCCAAGAAGTAGCCAGTCAAGGTTTGACTTCTGGTTTGTTGTCTGCCCCCACCCTGTGGGGATGTTTTCTCTGAACAGCCAACACGTCCGCCGCTCCCTGGGGCTGGGGCGCTGAAAGTGTGCAGGTAGTTGTAAGCCCTTCCTAAGGAGGAATGAGCTTTCCCGTAGAGGGTGGGATCCAGCTATTCCCTCCATTCTCATTTGGGGGTAAGGAAGTTCCGTTTTGAGGCTTCAAGAAAGTTAATTAGATCACAGGAGCCTTTGTTTGGTGACTGGGCCTCTCTGGATGTCAGTGGGGTGAGTCTCTTCCCAAGTGAAGGCTATAGGGCAGTGGATGTAAGAGAAGAGAAAATAGGAGACAGGAGACGAGTTTTGGCCTCCTCTACCATTTACCATAGCTGTGATTTGGCATAAGCCACCTGGGCCGTTTACGCAGCCCACATTTCCTTCACAGCAGCGACCAGAGTTATGTCAGGGTCTGTCAGCGTGTTTACAGTCTGGTTCACCGCTACAGTAGAAGCTCCGTGAGAACAGCATTATAGGATTGTCTGAAACAATAGCCCCTGTGCTGTCTGTGCATCTACTGCATAGTAGGTGCTCGGTCGAGAATACCTGGAAGGAGGGAGGAAGGCCTGCTCTGCCCTGGCCCTGTGCAAAGCTGCGGCTGTAACAGAGATGAAGAGACAGGGTGGGTCCCTAAGGCATGTTGAGCTGACTGGCCCTTTCTGTCCTGGTTTCCACAGGGGATTTGAGGGGCTTTGTTGACTGTAAAGTTCGCCAGCACTAGTGTTCTAAATGAGAATCTCACTCAGCACTGCCTCGCTGGAAGAGGGCCTGGCGTGTTAGTGGGGAGGTGTCTCCTGCGAAGGGAGTTGGCCCCATCCAGAAGACCCTCGCCATCCTGGAGTCATTGATGTTGCAAAGGTGTGTGGAAACCTTGCGATACTGCCACCTCCAATGGCTTCCTGTTAGCAGAAAAATAGTCCAGCACAGTGTTTTGAACCAGTGACTTTCAAAGCCTCTCAGTTCCATCTGTGGTGTCTTTATTCTGAAACAAATCACCAGGCATCCGAGATTCTGGTTGGTTCACATGAATCTGTGGAGTTGTAACTTAACAAAATTAAACCATAGTATCCATATACAAGCTTATGCTAACTTTCTAAATAAGAATACAATGTGTACATGCCCCAGCACAGAACATTGTCACGGCTCACTCGTGCTGACCATCTCAAAGACACATGGATTAGTGTTAACACTGAAGGGTCAGGGCAGTCATTAGTCAGAACGCTGATCAGTGCCACATTGACAGTAGAGATGGCTGTAGACCTTTCCTGGGCCTTCCTAGCAATGGAGATGCTCACACCTTGCATTTGTTCAGGACTCTGAAGCCTTCCTGCACTCTGATTTGATTTGAACCTCTTGTGGCCCCTAAAGGATCGGCAGGGACAGATACAGAGAAAGAGGTTTGGGGACTTGTCCAAGGTCATGGGCCTGCTTAAGTGGCACTGCTGGAAGTAGTAGGTATGTTTTCTGGCTTTTCCTACGTGTCCACCTTTGGACCTATAGCTCTATTACAGATGCTGCTTTACTTACAATGTGATAATGTTCCGATAAGCCAAATCATAAGTTGAAAATAGATTTAATATGCTTAACCTATAAAACATTATAACTTAGCCCAACCTAACTTAAACATGCTCAGAACACTTACATTAGCCTAAAGTCGGGCAAAATCATCTAATACAAGGTGTATTTTATAATGAAGTGTTGAATATCTTATGTAATTTATTAAATACTTTACTGAAAGGGAAAAACAGAATGGTTATATGGGTACTTGAAGTATGGTCTCTACTAAATGTATTTTGCTTTTTGCCCCATGGTAAAATTGAAAAATCCTAAGTTAAACCATTGTAAGTTGGGGACAATTTGCACTTAAAAGCAAAGAAACTAATTTATTATTTAATAAATGTTTTAAAAACAGAATCATGAGGAATTTTTTTCTTTCTTTTTGAGACAGAGCTGGAATGCAGTGGCATCATCACAGCTCACTGCAACTTCAGACTCCTGGGCTCAAGCAATTGTATTGCCTCAACCTTGGAGTAATTGGGACTACAGGCGTGTATAACTGCACTCAGCTAATTTTTCTATTTTTTTTTTTTATTTTTTTTATTTTTAGTAGATACAGGGGTCTTGCTCTTGCCCAGGTTGGTCTCACTTCAGCCTCTCATCTCAGCTTCCCAGAGTGCTGGGATTACAGGTGTGAGCCACTGCACCCAGCTTCGAGTAATTTTTTTTAATCACTTGGTAATGGTCTGAACTAATTGGCTAACTGCTCAGGATATAGGAGCAGGTGCACCAACAAGCTGGACACTTAGGTTGTCTTTTGAAAATGAATTTCTGTGCCTGTCAGCACTGCTTCCTGCTTGGGGGTGGGAGTGGAGGGTCTCAGTAACTGCTAAGATAACATCTGTCCTGGCTGCTGTCCAAGCAGCTCTAGGGACTGCCTTGGGGCTGTCTGGTGCTTACTGGTTAATATGGAAGTGCTCTAATAATCCCTTTCAAAAGGACTCCCTCCAGCCTCCACTGGATGTACAGCCTCCTTGTGTGGTTGCTGTAGGAGTGAGAGCATCAGCCAAGGAGAAAATAGGAAGCATGGAGACAGGGCTGATAGAATGCACGTTAAAACACATATCCCATTTTCTGAGCATTTGCTGTCTGCAAGGTGCCGTTCTAAGCCAATATTTCTATAAAAGATATACATTGCCTCCCATCTTTTAAGGTTGATAGTGCAGAGAACATGAAAGAGGAAGTTGGTTTGGTTTTCTACTTTTTTTCAGTCAGAAATACTGAAAGCTTTCTTACAGCTGCCTAGTTTCCTGATACTTAAGTTGTGAAATTTTGAGTTCACTCTATCATCATTCCTAAAATTTATCTTGAGTAAGTTCCCATTTGGGGAAGACACCCAAGTATAGAAAATGGTATGGAAATCTGCCAATTGAGGAATTAAACATTTTGTAATAGTCCAATATCTTTGGCTTGAGTTAGCTGGAAGGGCTCTTGTAATTTAGAATAGCAAGTTTAAATAATCACTCAGGATGATGCATTAAAAAGGCTCCTCCATGTTGACAAGTGCAGGGGCCCGTAATAGCCTTTATTGTTTATTCTTGGGCTTTTTCTTCATTCTGTTCTATACTTCATCTTCCCTCATTACTGAGTAAGCTGTCAGCTACCCTCATGTGCCACAGAGCTATTTCTTGAAAGCTGTATTTACAATCAGGATATAGTTTTCATTGGTATAGAACTCTTCCAAAGTGTTTTTTGTTTGTTTGTTTGTTTGTTTTGTTTCATTTTTAGATTCTGTCCCCCAGGCTAGAGTGCAGTGCAGTCATCATAGCTCACTGCAGCCTCAAACTCCTGGGCTCAAGCGATGCTGCTGCCTCAGCCTCCAGAGTAGATGCAACTACAGGCATGCGCCACCACGCCTGGCTAATTTTTTCTATTTTTAGCAGAGACAGGGTCTCACTCTTGCTGAGGCTTTTCTTCAATTCCTGGCCTCAAGCAATCCTCCCACCTCGGCCTCCATAGTGCTAGGATTACAGGCGTGAGCCTCCGGGCTGGGATTAAAGTGTTGTTTGTTTCACGGTGCTTTATTAACCCTCCACAAAGGTCCAACCCCCTTCTCCCTCTCCCCTCCGTCAGTTCTTCCTCTAACATCTTTACAGAACCAGGAACTG